GTTGAGTTCTGCGGGGTCTGCGTACACAGGACTGCTCTATATAAATGGCGACAGACCGATATCGTCTGGGACTACTCACATAGCTCGCGGTACACGCTCTGCCTCCATTGGCTCTCAAAGGTCGGCAGCGCTCCAGACAACGTCAACCATACGCATTATTCTCGTTCATGATGCGGCCACTCGTGGATCCCTTGTTGTTTGGACTTGGTGCCACTTCACTTCGAGCCAAACTAGGCTCCTACTGGCCAGCCATGATGAAATGACTTCAACAACATTGCCCTCCCAGCGGTAAAACCCGGTTCCGGCACATGGGATATGCACTTTACTCATGCAACATGGGTTTTTGCGGGCTTGGGCACAGCAGAACCATCCTACTTGCCTTCGGCCAAGGACGAACTCGGCGTAGCACAAGCCGCGAACCCATCTAGTGCCAACAACGGAGTCTCTCCCGTGGTGGAGTGAATGAGATACACTACATACAACTGCGGGGCAGCCATTGAAATCACCTCATATCCACTTCAGGATTCACATCGTTCGATTGCTGACGCTCTGTGGCAGATGGTGGCAGAGTCCTCATTTGCCAGCGAGTCAGAAGAGGTGCAGTGTGTGCGCAGGGCTGATAGTGCGCTACCGGTAGCCATACAGCGGCACTTTCTTACCCCTCAGTCCAGGGACAAGCTGGAAGATTGTGACATTCAGCGAGATCTTTTCGATTCTAGTTCCCGCTTCGGGTAGATAGAGTTTGGCGGATCCAGGATCGTTGAGGTATATTGCCTGGTAGAGGTAAGCGTACGTTGTCATGGCAAGTCCTTGTGGCTCCGTAGTCGGTTAGCGGACAAAGCGAGCTCTAGATCGTTGACGACAGCCACACCCAACTCAACGTCAACACTATACAGGACCGTGTATGCACCAATGAACCGCCCCACATGAGCGTCGCGTATCCGCATGGCATAGTGCGAACTCGCCTCAACCGGTGCCAAGGGCGCTTTGACGCGTACACGGGAGTGTGGCATGGAAAAGGCAGGATACGGCGTCACACCTACATTGGCATCCCACCCTCAATAATGGGGTTTTGCAGGAAAAGCAATTTGCGCGATGTCAATTGCTAATGTGCTAACATAAGGAGTGACATCTAGACGCCTCCACGGAGGCAGATTGGGTGCTAAAGCAGTCGAATGGACTAAGCGCCACTCGTACATGTTCCTGCATGTATTTCGTCATTACTGATCACAGCCCCGCACTAGACCGGACGCGTTGAGGGGCAACTGTGGTAGCTCGGACGCGTCGAGCTTACGACTGTCCGCACAATTTCAGATTGCCATTGAACAACAGCAACAATGGGCAGCTTTGATCAAAGCAAAGCATATGCAGCGCAAGAGGAGGAGGGTGCGTTTTTCGACGATGGGCGCGAAATCGAGCTCCTGCACTTCGTCTATTCACATCCCAATATCGAGAAGATACGAGGATCACCAGAACATGTTCTGGCAGCCATTGACGAGTATGGACGCACAAAGAAGTATCTCATGAATGTGGGAGAGGACAAGGGCCGCATTGTCACGGACTTGATCGCGGAAGTAAAGCCAAAAACCATGGTATGAATGTCCCTGCACTCGAATTACATCCCTAACAGCACGTAGGTCGAGCTCGGCGGCTACGTAGGCTATTCATGTATTCTTTTCGCAGATGCTGTACGAAAAGCAGGCGGCGAGCGATACTTCAGCTTCGAGCGCGATCCCGCCTTTGCGGCTGTCATCATGTCTTTGGTCGACCTTGCAGGCCTCACCGACCTTGTAAAGGTGATTGTGGGCTCAAGCGACGAAGGCATTGCACGGCTGGCAGCATCGGGCCAACTGAAGCAAGTCGATCTCATGTTCCTGGACCACTACAAGCCTGCCTACACAACAGACCTGAAGCTCTGCGAGGAGCTTGGCCTGGTCACAAAAGGCTCCGTGCTGGCAGCAGACAATGTCATCAAGCCCGGAAATCCGCCGTACTTGAAGTATGTCAGGTCGAGCGTTGAGGAGAAGGTCAAGGAGGCTGGAGAGGGTGGTCAGACAAACCTCAGCGGCATTGCTGAGACGAACGTCAAGATGTACGAGAAGAGATACGGCAAGGCCAAGTTCAGCGAGAGCAAAGGCAACCCGAATCTCAAGTACGAGAGCAAGCTGGTAAACAGCTACGAGCCAACGGGCGTACCTGTGAGTTGGAGCGCCGGCCGTCTCTCACGCGCATTTACTGACGAGCACAGGACGGCATCGAAATCACACGATGCGTTGGCTAGAAGAAGGCATCATAACTTGGTACATGACGCGTTGCAATCTTATGAATCGCGAGTTTCAGTGCTGGTGGGTCCTGAGCGCCTCGGCGCGGCGACGGTACCCGGCTGCTACCAGCTACAGGTGCCAGCAATGCCTCAATGCTTGCAAAAACAAACGGCATAAACAGATGAATCTATAGTTTCATAAATTCTGCGAAGCATCTCTGCGAGGCCGACATTGACAGACTGTGGTGATGTTGTGACCACGGCATGACACGTCGCGGTCGAGGAAATAACCATCAGCCCTGCATCCGCCGCCCAAACCCCTCAACCCCCATCCGCCGATCGCGGCCAGATCGCAAACAGGATCTACTACGACCAGATCGCAGACAGGATGGAGTCTAGGGTTCCACAATGTCGTACATGAGTGAAGTAACGATGACGTCTAGACTAGCGAGCAAAGCCAGCCTTCTCAGGCCAACAGCTTTGTCTGGGCGAACGTAGCCGCACGCACATCAATCACCTCGCCTATGCATGAACGCATTGCGTGACTACGAGCCGTCCGTCTGCACCGCTAATTCCTACTTACTTGCAGCCCGCATTGCAGTGCAGCGCAGCTTGCAGGCTTTTGCGAGGGCATAGTTGAGACCTCTCTCGGTCCTTTTTTTGATAAGGTAACGCCGTTGGTGGTGTGTTGGGAAACGTCTGAACGGTGAAGACTGTGCGAGAACAAGTGCCGAGGTCACGAGCACCTCTCTTCCATCAACAGCGACGGCGAAGACATGGCAGAGGGAAAGAAGGATGCCGTGGTGCCGTTTTACTATAGCCATGTGTGGAAGAATGTGCTTCTACTGGCTCTGAGCGCTGTTTGCGCGCCTGTGTCGGCAGCGCTGGTGTTGCTCGGTCTTGCAGTGTCGCGACTCCATGGGCAGCACAACGCAACCTTTTCGACCGAGGATAAGCAGCATGTGGCGGCGGCACGAAGACGGAAAACTATCCTCGTCACTGGGGTGTCCATGACCAAAGGGCTGACGATTGCGCGCATCCTGTCGCAGCATACACCGCATCGCATCATTGGCGCCGACATCTCTTCTTTATCACCAGGCCGCTTCTCCAGCGCTATTGCGAAGTACTACTGTCTGGACACACCGAGTGGCGATGATGCAGAGCCATACATTGACTCCATTCTCTCGATCATCCAACGCGAGAAAGTGGACCTATGGATCAGTTGCTCCAGCGTTGTCGCAGCCGTAGAAGATGGCCAAGTCGTCCGCCTAGCAGAGAAGCAAGCAAGAGAACAAGGCCGCCATTTCGAAGCCATCCAGTTCCGGGAAGACGTTGTCGAAAGGTTCCATGAAAAGGACAAGTTCATCGACTACATCGAGTCGCTTGGTCTCCCAATCCCGGAATCGCACCGCTGCACCAACCCACATGAAGCGCTCGATGTGCTCATGGGTGAGCTGCACAGAACGCCAACGAAATCAGGAAGAACGGTACCAAGACGACAGTTCATCATGAAACCCATCGGTGTGGACGACAAGGCCAGGAACAACATGATGACGCTGCTGCCATTCAATAGCCCAGACGCCACAGCCCAATACATCCACTCGCTCAACATCACCAAAGAGAACCCGTTCCAGCTCCAGCAATTCATCAAAGGAAGCGAATACTGTACGCACGCCCTCGTCATCCGTGGAAAAGTAAAAGCTTTCACCAGCTGTCCCAGCCTAGAACTCCTCATGCACTACGAGCCGCTGCCTGCCTCGTCGCCCCTCAGCAAGAAGATGCTTGGCTTTACCGAGCGCGTGTGCAAGGACGGCGGCGAAAGCTTCACCGGCCACCTAAGCTTCGACTTCCTAGTCGAGAACGACGACAAAGGCGCAGCCGCCAAGTTCTACCCTATTGAATCCAACCCGCGCGCCCACACGGCCGTCGTGCTCTTTGAGCAAACTCCCGAAATGGCAGAAGCTTACCTCTCCATTTTCAACAGCCCTAACCCCTTGTCATCGAAACACAAGATTGGTCCTGTTTTCCCTCGCTCCCCGACATACAGCTATTACTGGATCGGCCATGACTTGGTGTCTTTTGTTGTCCTGCCGCTTCTTGATTTACTTTTCGGCGTCGCGACCTTCCAGGCTGCTTTTAATGACTTGGCGACATTTTGGAGTCATGTTGTCGGTTGGAAGGATGGGACGTATTTGTTCGAAGACCCTCTGCCCTTTTTCGTTTTGTATCATATCTATTGGCCTGCGAAGTTTCTAGAGGCTTTGAGGACAGGGAAGGCGTGGAGTCGGATTAACGTTAGTACTACGAAGATGTTTGAGGGATGAGTATAGCGTGATGTGGGTCAGACTGTAAAAGAAAACGGGCTGATGGGGGGTTACTAAGAGCGTAACGGCCGTTAGAAATGTGTTTATAGACCGTTTGTGAAGAGAATTTGTGCCATTGTCTGGACGTCTTAGCTGGCATCACATCGCACTGCTATGCTATGCTTACTCAAAAGTACGAATCTACGCGACCGCAACTCGTTGTTCGTGGATCCCTCTTTACCAAGCACTCTCCTTCCCCCTCAGTCCAAACTCACATCACTCTCCGTCTCCCAAACCCTGCCAATTTCCATATCCCTAACGCTCGACCAGACTCTTTCCAACTCTGCAGAGGTGGAGATACGAAGTCAGTATATATCTCAAATGCACTTCATACCGTCAAAACTTACCGGCCGAATCCCTCCTGACCTTCTTCCTCAGCTCCGTAACGGCAATCGCCATTCGTCGCTGCAGACGAGTCTGCTGGCCATGTAGGGCACGAGCCATAGCGCATCGCGTGTAGCAGTGAAAGGCGATGCAATGCTTCCTAGCGGTACCAGAGAGACGGTGGAATGAGCCCTTTCGCGGCTGGGTTAGCGCTAGAAGCTTGGTGTTCCTAGACGATGACGAAGGAAAGATGGCCGTGATACGGGATTTGCGAGACGTAGTGCTGGAATATGTGATGCGGTGGTATATTCCTTTTGGCTTGTTCCTGGTCGCCGTAGCTAATGAAACGCACCCTATAGATCTTGTGCCGCTGTGTTTGTTGTCATCGTTGATGGGTGCTGCGAGTGAGATTGCGGCAGCAGTGCCCATGACCTGACTGATTTGCGCGCCCAAGGAATGGCGCTGGTCTGCTTCGGGCGCAATGGAAGTGGGGATGTGTTCGTCCGCAGCGACTTCTACACATGCGCCGTTCCAACCGCCTGAGTTGAGCAAGTGAACTGGGCGGTTCGCGGAGTCAACGCCCGCTTCGCATTTGCGCCTGATGTCATTTCTCTTGTCCTCGAAGCGTGACAGGGCCTCCATATCCTGGGTATCGATAGCGACATCAAGGACTTCTAGACTATCAGGCTCGTCTGACCAGTTTTTCGTGTCGCACTGTGTATGCTTTTGTCCCAAGATCTGAGACCCCAGCGTATACGTCCCACCATCTTCTGAGTCTCGATCTGCCTCGAACGTGCGCTTGGTGCCGTTGACGATGCTCAGCGGAGGCGCAAGGCCATCTAAAGCATCGGAAACCTCAGTCACCACTTCGTCTTCGGATTCTGCCTGTGGAACGCTCTCTTCGACACCAGAAGCCTCTTTCTCAGCTTCTTCAGCAGCATACGAAGCCTTGAGACTCTCCCAATCCCCCTTGACCCGTAACTTGGCGCGCCTCAACTCCACATCGCCCTTGGCAAGGGTCAAGTCATGCATCATCTCAGCGACACGTCGAATCTGCCTCAACGGTACGACTTTGGCTGAGAGCTGCTGTCCAGCACCCTCTTTAGCTTCGGCCTCTTCTTCTTTCTTAGTCTTGGGCTCAATTCGAAGATCGCGGAAGAGATCTGTTATCAGTTGGAAATTGTGGGGCTCGGGATTTGCATTGATGTCTTCAGCCCGGGAGCGCCGTACATCGTCGCTCATGAGAACTTCCTCGCGAAGGCGTAGAACGAGGCCGAAGGCGCGACGATAGAAGGAGAGGAAGTCAAAGTTACTGTGTACTTCGTTCTCCTGCAGTTCTGACCTCATGGTACCTAGCAGGTTGGCATGTGTCTCATCCTGCTTGTCGAAATCGGGTTTGCGTACCCTGGCCTTGTCCTTGCCTTTTCGCCTTGGCTTCGAGGGCGTGATCTTGGTTGCTAGATCGGCAAACGTGTCTCGCAAGTCCTCTGAGATCCGCCTAGCCTGTTTACAGTCATCGTCTGATGCGCCTCCAACAGTCTCTTTCCGTCGGTAGAGATGGTTGAAGACTGCATGACGCCTCAGCCAACGGTTATTGTCCGGGTTCGGGCCATAGTAATCGGAAATCTTAGCCTCCAATGGCAAATCACTCCGTAAACCGCGTTTCACTCCAACTTGTTTCGACACCCGAGGGAGGTACCTGGAAGTGTGGCGGAAGTCCGTGGCCATAGCGCGGCTACTGGTGCTACCCGAGAGGAGATAGCGATTGAGAAAGTCGTTAGGGTGGGTCGGTGGATCGCCGTGAAACAAAGCTCTTGTCCTAAGCGTTGAGCACAGAATCAGTGCGTGTCTCACATGTAGTTCATACGCTGAAAATCTTACCCATGCATCTTGATCAGATAGTCGAGGTCTGGCCACTGGATGTTCAGACCGCCGATTTGGCAGGCGGCGTTGTAGAGGTGAGCGAGGCCATTGATGAACCACTGTATCTTGGCAATGGTAGTATGGTGGTAGATCTGGTTGTAGTGCCACATTGAAAGTCCCGCGAGCGTCGAATGAACGGTGATGAAGACGCTAGCAGCCATCGGCACTTCTCGCGAATTCAGAACATCTTGCAGCCAGTCCAACAGCCTGTCTAGAGGCTTCAACAGGAGGGTACTGAACTTGATCTCTTCTTTGCACATGTAGTCAGGCTTTGTTCCCTTGGCCCACATGCGGTCTTCGTAGTCGACATGACAACGGATACATCTGGCGATGTCTAAGCCGTGCTCGGTGAGGTCGCGTAGCATCCGACGACAGTCGTCGCGCACTGCCTCTTGGATGTCGAGAACAATGGCAAGGCCGAAGGGTAGGTAGTCTTGTGATGTACTCTGATGCAACAGCATCTCTGCGGTAAAGTGATCCCACTTTGGAAGCTTGAGGTTGCCCTTGCGAATAACGTCGAAGAACCTCAAAAATATCATGAGAGGGTGCTCCTGGATGTCGTTGCCAATACTGTCCTTCATCGGGCGCTTATTCGTGACGTAGCTCTTGATCAAGACGGCAGCATCATCCAGACAAAACAGGTGACGCAGTGCCTTTTCAGTGAGCGGTATTGCTGCGTTCTGTGCTCCAGTGTTGGGAGCTGCTTTGATCGTATCGAAAAGCTGACGGATGAGTGTGGCCAGGTCTCCTGGTAGCAAATCGAGCTCCTCCATCAGTGCCTTGACGTTCTGGTGCAAATGATCTAAACGCAGGTGGACGAAGTCAGTATCTACTTCACATGCAATTTGTACAGAGACACTTACCCTGGGCGAGGTCGGTCACTAGCGCTGCGGTCATCGCATTGACATGGCCCTCATGGTAAGCGACCCACACCTCGTAGATGACAGCCCGTATGCGGTTGAACTTGTAAAGGAAGCAGAGTACAAGAAAGTCACGGCGCAACTGTTCTTCCTCTGCAGTCAGCAGGTTCTCCTCTGGTATCGGCGCCTTCGTCTTCGTCTTGGAAGTCAGAGGCTGCTGCTGCTGGCTGCCATCATCCATGTCAACCTGGTCCCGCTTCCGCATCTTCTCAAGTAAATCGTCCTGTTCGTCTTGGCTTTTGTTGGACTCGGCGGAAAACTGGATGAAGACAAGGGTAGGCGTGTCAGTCTTGCCGTTTCGAGCCTTATTGATACCGGGGACAAGATCCTTCAGCACCGCCATGAGCGCTTCTAAGCTGCCATTGAAGTATTCATGACCTAGGTCCGCCGTGTTATTGTGTTTGTGATATTGTGTTACCTCCTTCCTTGACCGGATAGCGTCTCCCAGGTCGTCGATACCACTGGTGTCCGCGAGCGGAACGCTCGTGGCGGCTATGGCGTTGACGAGCTGCTCCTGTTTCTGTAGCGGTATTCTGTAGCCCTTCTTGTTCTTTTTCTTCTTAGCCTGGTCTGCAACCACATTTGCAATCTCCACGCCACGTTGGAAGGCTGTCTGGAGCAACCACGCTTGGAATTGGTCGGTGTAGGTCTTGTAACGCTTGACCGTCTCGGGGAGTTCATTTTGTCGGTAGTAATCCATTTCTTCAGTAGACTGGATCTGCAGCCGAGGAACTGAATACCGGCGACAGTAAAGACGGGGAGGAGGACTGATGGCGGCAGATTAAGCTTGTGGGGCAGACTTGCAAGTGCACCAGAGGAAAAATCACATGGAGACCTGTGCTTTCTGACGTAGGATGAATGACGAGTAGAGAACGAAACTTCAACGACAACTCGCGCTCAGGCGGAGGACTCACACTTGTATATTGCGCAGGGCCAAGCCAGGAAGGCGTAATTATGGCCCACTGAGATTTCGTTGCTGTGTCAACCCTGATGTTACCAGGTGGTGGCCTAGAGACAGCAGTTTAAAGTGAAAGGAGCGCGAATCCCCAATACCATAGCCCCTGTCAGCTCTGAAATTGTCACGAGCATCTCGTTACAGCTAGCATGGTCAATGGGAGACAGTCGCTGTGGTCGGCTGGAATTCGTCGTGGAATACATAATCCGGGACTGTATGCATGGTCGTGTCGGCCGATGGTAAAGCTTTTCTTACAGCAATGAGCGCCATTCCTTGCTAGGCGGCCTCTCCAGACCCAAATGGTCACATAGCTGACCCATGTGATCGACGCCCCAGTACCCCTCGGTCTCTCCTCTCGCGTTGGTAGCTGTCGCACATTGTCAACAAACACTTTCTGATTATCCGACATAGCACCAATTCTGCGCTTACCGACAAACCATGGCAGCCCAAAGGCGCCGTCTTCAAACGCCTTGGTAGTGTTTCCGCCCAGAGCCTGCTTCACCTCATCGGTCTTCGTCCTCGCGATCACCTTTTGCGCCTCTTCGTCACTGCCCAAAACAGTCCCAAGGATAGCCTGCAGATTCTCCGGCTTAGTCGGGTCGTTCCAGTGCGCCCAGAAATTTTCGTAGCAGAGCTCTATTGCGCGTTCAAGCTTTTGTGGGTGAGAGAGCGAGAGAGATACCAGGGCGCGCTGGATGGGCAATGTGCTGACAGGGAAGCCAGGCGGAGCATCTTGCAGGATGGGCACGTTGAACTGTTTCGACAAGCGCTGGCGCTCCGTATTGATCCACTTGTCTTTGTCTGTATGATGTTAGAGGTCAGGGTAGACAGTGGCAAGTCTGAGAACAAAACTTGACATACTCTTAATGTTCAGCGGCGGTGTGTTCCCACAGACCTTCATCAAACCCCCAAGCAGGATCGGCACATATTGCACCTCGACCTGTTTGAAGGCCTTTGAATTCTGCACAAACGCTTCGATTAGCACCGCATTACACCTCTACGTCTCAAACGTGCTTCAACCTATACCACCACCCAGACAAACTCACCTTGAGGACGTGGAAAGCAATGTAGGCAAACGGGCTCACAATGTCCACGTAGAATGTAATCTTCGGCTGAGACATGACCGGCTTTCCTTAGAGAGCGAGTCTGTGGGAGCTGTTGTGGGGATAAGACAGGGGGTGCGACTTTGTTCCTGGCACCATGCCCTATGTATGTAGGTGCTGGGTGAGGAGTCGGGACCGGTGATCTCATAGCCGGTCAGAATAACCGAGGCACAGACGGCGATCCATCTATTCGCAGGCCGTCATCTACTTACACCGATTTGGCAGCTCCAAGAGATGCTGGTCACTGTCAAAGAATATGCAAGATCCGAGGAGCTGTTGCTTTACGCCGAATATTCCCTGCGACTGAGGGCTGGAGGATGCGCTGGCGACCATCATCTTCGGTGTCACGCAAAGCAAGTGCAACAGCCGGACACGTAGTTCGATAATGACAAACTTTGGTATCTACCCTGCGCCTATAACACAGCTACTCGCCTTGAACTCATCACTGAACAGGATCTCCTCGGAGTGCCTTCAATCAACCATTACAATGTCCCTCTCCAGCTGCGATGTGCCATTCGTAATGGCCTTTACCTCCCCAGCTACTTCATCCATTTCCTTCAGAGTAAAGTCCAGCAAGTAGCTCTCGTCTACCAACTCCTCTACCCGCTTGTAGTGTCTCTCAGAGTACACCTTGATAGCATCCAGCACGTCCTTCAAACTGCCCTTCGCCCCTACTTTCCCCTGCGGCCTCAGACTGGCTAGCCGAGAAGCAGGGTAGGACTTGACCACAGCCCATAGGATTTTTTGAGCGATCGGCGCGGTGCGGACGTTGGTGTTCCAGTCACGGAGGCGGATGAGCAGTTTGTACAGCTGCTCGTCTGCCAAAGAGGCGAGTACTTCGTCAACGGTATGGAGACCTGAAAGGCTGTCTGCATCTGGGTGCTCAGTCTCTACTACCGACTTGAAGAGGGAGAAGAGGCGGGCTGGCTGGTCCATTTGGAGGGCGAGTACGATGGCTTCGCGGTAGTTGCCGGCATACGTGTAGTTTTGTAGTTTCTGATCGAGTTCGACGCGTTCTGTCTCTGCAGTCGTCGCAGCTTCCAGCGTGGAGCTTGTTGTATCCTCCCAGAACGTGATGACACTGTCTCCACCACCAGAAACCAAGGCGCCTGTTGTTGGATGTGCGGCGAGCGCCCAGACACGGTCGGTGTGGTTATCGAGTGTGGTCATGGCCTCGCCCGAGAGTGAGTCCCAAATCTTGACAAGCCCATCACCAGCTGCAGAGGCTACTTGCGGACCGCGCTTGTCTCGTGCATCGACGGGCCGGTAGGGCAACCACGACAGCTTCAAAACACTGTTGGAGTGGCCTTCCAGGGTGAGCAAACAGCTGTAGTCTGCTAGGCTCCATATCTTGACGGTTTTGTCGCCGCTGCCTGTTGCGATCAGGCCCTTGTTTCCCGAGTTTGGCGCCTGCGACGCCTTGGGTGCGAACTTGACCGACCATACGCCGCGTTTGTGGCCCCGAAGGACACCGATGGCCTCTCCCTCTGCGGCGGAATAAATCTTGACGGTGCGATCCTGCGATGCGGATGCGAAGAGACTGCCAGAGGGGTCGATGTCGATGGCGTTGATGTCTCTGTCGTGTGCTTTGCGGGTGTACTTGGCTCGCAGTTTGCCCTTCATCTCTTTGGTAGTATCCCACCGCTTGACGGTCCTGTCTTGCGATCCGGTCACGACGTATGCGGGAGGATGCGAGAGGGGGTCGGTAAAGGCGGCTGACGATTCCTGAGGTATTGTATGCGGCAATGCAATCGCGCCGAGCGACTCGGCGTGGCCAGTGAGGACTGCGGCGCAAGTGTAGGATTCGTTTGCGGGATCGATTCGCCATAACCGCGCCGTATTGTCTTTGGCACCTGTAGCAAGCCAGTGGCCTGACCAGTCTACGTCCAGACAGATGACGATGTCCTCATGTCCTTTGAGCAAGCCGACATCCGCACCGAAGTATCTGCCCTGGGTTGCGTCGTCTCCGTCAGACTCGTTCAACGTGATGATGCGGATGTCCTCCGAGTTGGTGTTGAGCGCCAGTAGCGACTTGTCTCTGCCAACGTAGGCAATGTCGATGACCTCGTCGTGCGTTCCCGAGACGCGGCGGAATATGGGGAGCGGGTCGATGGTGTCCTGCACGCCGAGCGACTCGGCTGGTCTGAGGGTGTAGAAGTTGAGCACTTGGTCGGCATGGACCGAGACCAAGTAGGGTAACGAAGGATAGCAGAGAATGTTGACAATCTCGTCCGTCTCGGTTCCAGGCGCTTGCTCTCGGGTGAGCTCTCTGCCGCTGGACGCGGACCAGAGGCGCAGTCGGCCGTTCTCTCCACCCGAATACAGCGTGTTGCCGTCGGGGAGGAAGCCTGCGCTCTCGATGCCTTCGAGAGCAGCAATGGTGCGCTGCGCCTTCCACGTGTGCGAGTCCCAGACAATCAGCGTCTTGTCTCGGCTGGCAGACACGAGGGCCTTTTCGTGCGGCGAGTACTGTAGCGAGCGCACGACGGAGACGTGCGAGTCGAGCACGGCGGCGCTCTTGCGCTTGTGCAGGTCCCAGACGCGTATCCGGCCGTCTTCGGCACCAGAGGCCAGGCGGAACTGCATCTGGCTCTCGCCCTGGGCGTGCTCCAGCTCGGCAGCGTCTGGGCGCGACTTCCTCTTCCTCTTCCTGTTGTTGTCGGGGGCGTCTGGGCGCTCCGCCACCTCTACCTCGAAGAAGTGCAGCGCCGAGACGACGCCGCCGTGGCCGTGGAAAGCGTGCGTCGTGTAGCCGCCGACAATGTCCCAGATCTTGACGACGCCGTCTGCGCCTCCGGTTGCAACCAGCGTGCCGCTGCGGTCTGTGGCCAGGGTGACTACGGGCGATGTGTGGGGCCGCAGTGTGCGCAGAAGCTCGAGCTCGATGGTGTCGTCGTCCGTGGCCGGGGGGTGGAGGGCGAAGAAGCGCATCGACAGCGACCGCGAGCACACGACGAGGTGGGATGCAGCTGGCGTCAGCACCAGGGCCGTGATGGCCTCGCCGTCGCCCTCGACCCTTGCCAGCTCCTGGCCGTTGGTGAGGTCGGACAGAAGGACATCCTCGCCCAAGCTGGCGGCCAAGATGCGCCCGTCTTCGCTGAGGGCCAGGCTGCCGCCCGCGTAGATGGGCTGCAGGGTGCGAGCGACGCTGTATGTGGTCTTGACGGCAGCTCGTTGCGCCGACATGATGGGCCGTGTGGTGCAGAGGCAGAGGCAGCGGCAGCGGGAAGCGTGTGCTGGGCGAGCTGAGGGCGCAGGAAAAAAGTTTATCGATAAGGCGGCCCTACCGCGCGCTGACGTGTGGCGGCGCGTCTCCCGCACACGCACCGTGCCACCACCACCACCACCACCACCACCACCATGGGCCGCCAAGCCTACCTGGACAAGATGGCCTTTGTACGGACCCCGCCAGCGCCGCGCGCACATGATGGCTAACACGGTGCTAGGGGCGCTCGGCCTTTGCGCCCACGCAGGCCGCATCGCAGTCGGCCGCGTACGTCCAGCTCGAGTCGGCGCAGGCTGACGTCCCGCCGCGCTACCACGAGGCGACCGCCAACAGCTACGTCCAGCTCTACGACGAGCGCGGCAGCCCCATCAACCCGCGCTCCCACCAGTACGGCAAGAAGCTGCGAGGCGCCCAGAACGATGTGCTGGCCTCGGTCGGCGTCGTCGAGCGGCGACACGCCCCGGCGGGAGCCTTCCCGCGCGCCAGCCACGACCGCCTCGAGCTGCTGGAAGCCGAGGACACCGTTGGGAATGCCATTGCACTGGCGACCACGCTCACCGAGAACCTGTGCACCTGGTGGATAGGCACTCTCAGGGAGAGGATTCTGGCACGTTCCTGCCGCCGCCCTCTCGTGCATCCACTAACCGGCGCAGACGTTCCACTATCCCCATGCCCTCACCTTTGCCCAAATCGCCGCCGCCGAGCGTGCCCTCTCTGGCGCCCCCATTGTCTATGCCGGCTTTGCCGCGCGCGTGTTTGCGACCATGCACATCCAAGCTATTGTCTACAGCACCTTTGTCTATCAGCCTGTCGAGCGCTTGCTCTATGCCACACGCGCAACCGCAAGGACACGCAACTTCTTCCGCCACGCCAGGAGAGCCCTCAGGTCTAGCCTTCGCCTGGGCCTCGAGATGCTGTGCTATCCCTTCTTCTACCACGCTGCGTTGCAACGCCTTGGACTAGTGCCCGCCCGCCCACTGCTGCCAGCCTGGCGGTCCCTCAATCCCCTCTCAGACTCGTCGCCTCTGCCGTTCTCTCTGCACTGCAATGCGTCTGAGTCCATGGCGGACTGCATCGGTGCAATCTTGACCTCGCCCGCCATCCTCCTGTGTGCTGAGCACTCCATCGAGCGCTGGGTCTACGCCTGCGTCTACGAAGCTGTCGAGACGGCCATGATCCGTCCTGACGAGCCCGACATTCCCAGCCGGGACGCCAGTGGAAAGGACCGGGCCTTGGCTGTTCTCGGGCTGCGACGGGAGTCACCGCCCCTGATTCGGGACGCCGTTCACAGCCTGCTCGCAGTGCTTGGGTGGGCCCGGCCGGTGTCCCCTCTGAGCGCACAAAGAAAGCGGGCAATGGAGCTTGCACCCGCAATCGCCTCGAGCGAGATCCAGACGCTACAAGTTGGTGGCACTCAGGTTACCGGCGCTACCCCACTCAATCTCCCCGTCCTGCACTCGACAGATCACCCTTCCGCAGAGCCGCTCGATGCAGATGTCATTGCCGTTCCGATCGATGCATTTGAGGACCTGGTGCGATCTACCACCCCGCCAGGGTCGCCGACACAATCGGAGCAGAACGAGAACGGTCCCCGGATACGCATAACGTCGAGGGAAGGAATCGTAGAGATGGAAGTCCGTCTCCCGCCTAGGATACTTTCCACGCACACGCACGTCGCAGAAGGCTCGGATTCGTTGCAAGACGACGCAGCTGCCGGGCCAAGTAACCGAGCCCGCTCAATGGACGGTCATGGATACCACCGCGTCACGCAACTCTCGTGTGAGCCGGCGCAGATGATCAGTGCAATGGTCAGAGCCCAGCTTGTCGGCCTTGTCATGCTCCCATTGAGGATGGCCACTTTGCGAGCGATTGCCTCACATTTTGTAGCCAGGCAAGAAGGGCATGCAGGGTCGTACCGCATTGTGGGTGGGTTGGGTCTCGGTGAGGGTGTGGGCTGGCGGAACATTGGCACCCAGCTCTCACGCGTAGCGCTCTGTGGTGCACTGGAGCTGACTATCGATCTTGGCCTGTGGGGATTGCAATATCTGGCCATTACAAAATTCGGGCAGAGTGTCTTCGGATGGGGTACGCTTTGAGCGTATCACTCGCTTGGCAGACGGCACCATGGCCAGTGACATGCTCGGCAGCACCCGATGCAGTGGCCTTGGAGTGGCACCTCTGGCGGTTGTGTTGTTTCACGAGTAAGTAGACTCGAGTGCCGGCATGGACAATGCTCCGAAGGGGAACAGTGGATAACAAGGTCCCCGCAATACCGGTGGGTTGGTCTCTGGTTGGTCACCATGCTGGAGCATGCTTGATCACGAGGCCATTCAAGCGAGGCTTCCCGACGCCGGCGGGTCATTGATGTTTGTTGGGCCGGCAGTCGTTGGTAGGAGTAGTGGTGGCTCGGAAGGCAAACGCGGCAGCACGTGCAATGTGGCGCGCTCCCGCAGCACCAGCGCGTTAGTCTCTGGCTGGAGAGGACGCGGCGACATTGGGGTTTGGTGCAGTGAGGCGGAGACTGCGGATGGTTCTGTATGTAGACGGGCGGATCAGCAGGGATCGCCAGCAGGTCTTTGTATAGCGTCACAGAAACGTCGCTCCCAGAGGCGCTGCGAGATGCCGACAGAACAGCATGCGCACAGAGAGTATGTACATAGAGGTAGCCGGGCCAGGGTCTGCAGATGGCAGCTGCTGTGGGTGCCGACAGTAGTGAACCCCTTTTCCCAGGTACACAGGGCCCTGCGTCTTTGGTGCGTTCGCGCGAACAGCCACGCCGCCCGCCCGTTCTGCTTGCACTGGCACGGCGCTTTCATCGGTCGGTCGTTCCTTCGTCGGGCCCCTGCACCAGCACCTGCACCTGCCCCGAGTCCCAGGGGATCCTGCCATCCATCTCATCACCGCTCCTTTTTCCCCACCACGTCAACACACTGCCGGCCGACCTCACGCTGAGCGACGCTGAGAGACGCTGCGTGCTGCCACATCCCATCGCCTCGCTGCCCCCTTGGACGCGCCCACGACGTCCCCAGGCCTGCCAGCGCGCCTCCCCCGCCTCGACTGCGACTACCCGTCTCCGCTGCATTGCCTTTGCGCTTGCTTCCCGCGCCCAGGGCCCTGCCTGTCCGCGACGTACTCGTCCCCGCCTACCTTGCGAGGCCCCGTCGCGTTGCTGGAGGGCCACGCCGGACATGTGCACAGCGGCATAGGCCACCTGCAAAAACAAAGCCTGTCGGGCCCACGACTGCAGCGCCAGCACCTCTGCCGCCCGCCGTAGCACTCGTACAGGCGCGCCACCCATCACCATGTCCGCCAACTCGCTGCCTCGCCCGTCGCGGCCCTCGATCGCTCCGCCCACCGGTCCCTTGCCCTCGCTGCCCGTCCCCAAGTCACGGAGCTCCCATGTCGGTCCGACGACGCGCAGCTCGCTGCTCCCCGGCGCCGCCAGCACACGCGCTGTGTCGTCGTCGTCGCTGCCCTACCGCCCGACGTCGAAGCATCTGACGTCTCCCTCGGTGCCCTCGTTCCCGCCCGACGCTGGCGCGGCCGGCTCGCTGCCCGTGGGCAAGTCGCTGCGCAAGACGGTCAGCATCGGCTCCTTTCCCCAGCCGCCCAGGCACGGCGGACGCTCCAATCCCACCAGTCCGCTATCCACCAGCTCCACGCCCGGCGGAGACACGGTCGACCGGAGGCTGTCGTCGATATCCAAGGGCCCAGCGCCCGCCCGGAGCAACAGTCTGAAGAAGCCGCGGAGCTCCAACATGGGCGGCGCGCGAGGCCTGCTCCCCAAGTCGCCCCTGTCGCCCCCGAGCCTGCTCAACGGCAGCGCCGACTCCGTCACCGTCGAGACGGCCCATCTCAGCCTCCCCTCGCCGCCCCAGAGCCGCACCTCTTCGCCGCAGGGCTCCTACGCCACCAGCGCAACCACATTCGAAGACGGGGACGACGGACGCGCCGACGCCAAGGCACCCAAGGACGGCAAAGGCAATGTCATTGTCAGCGTCCGCGTCCGCCCCGATGCCGGCGCCAAGGAACCCAAACACGACGTCGAGTGGCAAGTCAACAACAAGCAGGCCCTGATCGCCTACAAGGGCAAGGAGGGCGGAGACTACATTTACGGTATGCTTGCACACGGCGAGGCTCGCTGCACCGGAGCTAATTTGGCCTGACCTAGACAACGTATTCGATACCCAAGACAACAACGCGCGCGTGTACGATGCTGCAGCCAAGCGACTCGTCCGGAGGGTCATGGAGGGCTATCACGGCACCGTCTTTGCCTATGGCATGACGGGAACCGGCAAGACCTTCTCCATGCAAGGAACTGCGACGAACCCCGGCGTCATACCCCTGGCCATCACCGACATATTCTCCTACATCCGGGAGACGCCCCAGCGCGAGTTCCTCCTGAGGGTCAGCTACATCGAGATCTACAATGAGAAGATTATCGATCTGCTGGCGGGGCCCGTCGTGGGCATCAACGGCCAGACCGGGCCCGTGGAAGAGATCAAGCTGCGCGAGGACAGCAAGCGTGGCGTCTATGCGTCGCCGCTCAAGGAAGAGATTGTGCAGAGCCCGACCCAGCTCCTGAGGGTCATCGCCCGGGGTGACAATTCGCGAAAGGTGGCGGGCACGCAGTTCAACGCGCGCAGTTCCCGGAGTCACGCTGTCGTCCAGATCGTCGTCGAGAGCAGGGAACGCGCTCCTGGCCCTGCAATGAACGGCGACAAGCGCTCAGCCATTGTCCCGGGCGGCGTCCGTGTTTCGACGCTCAGTCTGATCGATCTGGCTGGCTCTGAAAAGGCGGCGGACAACAAGGAGCGGCGGACAGAGGGCTCCCACATCAACAAGAGCCTGCTCACCTTGGGCACAGTCATTGGCCGCTTGGCTTCGGACAAGGACAAGTCGGAAAAGGACAAAGGAAAGGGCGACAAGCACTTGCCGTACCGAGACAGCAAGCTCACCCGACTTCTCCAGCCCGCCCTGTCCGGAAACTCGCTCGTCAGCATCCTCTGCACTATCCAGATCGGAGCCAGCGGGAGTCCCGCTGCTGTCAACAGCCACACGGGCGAGACGCTGAACACGCTCAAGTTCGCTTCTCGAGCCAAGAACAACATCGTCAGCCACGCCAAGAAGGCCGACGAGTCCATGGGCGCTGCTGGGGATGCCGGCAGCCGAGCACTTCTGGATCGCTACCGCCTGGAGATTGAGGATCTGAAAAAGCAGCTGGCAGAAGGCAAGAACAAGGAGCCCAAGGAAGAAGAAGACGACGAGCTGAAAAAGGACAAAGAGGAAGAGAAGGCGCGCGAGTTGGAAGACAAGCAGCGTCATGAGGAGCAGATGCTTGAAATGCAGCTCGCCCGGACTGCCCTGAAGGAGCGGATTGAGCATCTCAACAGGCTGATCTTGAGCTCCAAATCGCTCGGCGTGAACAACGGTCGGTCCTTCTCGTCAATGAGCTTCCAGCGCGGTTCCGTCATGAGCAATCACCACCACGACATGCGCCCCAGCTCCATACGCTCCTCGGCAAGCCACGCCACCCTCGAAGTCCCAGGCAAAAGACAGAGCACGCCACATCTCCACATGGACGGCTCCGAGGAAGACGACTCGGTCGGGGAGAACGGAGACGGCATTGCGAGTCAGACCGTGCAGATCCAAGCCCTGCAGGCTGACCTTGCGGATAAGAACCGTTACATCGCGACCCTTGAGAAGCGCCTTTTGCATGCCCGGCGCTCCAGCCATTCTCGAGTTTCCATGTCCTTGTCGCACAAACTCACAAACAGCGAGGAGGGCGGCATGATTGCGGCGCTTGCCGAGAGAGACAACGAGATAGTCAACTTGCGGGCGCAGCTGGAAGACAAGGAGCGCATGATTGGCGCCCTCACGTCGGCTCGCAAGAAGAACGACAACGCACACGAGATGGGCAGCGAGTCGCCCGGCAGCCGGCGTACTTCGGGCTACCAACGCAGCGGCAGCGACGGCAGTGGAGTCAGTCTTCTGCCCAAGGGTCCCACATCGCCCGCGCTCAGCGTGAAAGCGCCATTCCTGCCTCCACCAGCTTCCAATGGCTCAACCAAGAACATCGAGGAGATGACGCGTATGCTCGACGAGATGATAACCGGCCGCGTCGAGAAGACTGCAAGGCGAAGCAGTCTCAGGCCCGTCACCGAGGGACCATGATTTTGCCCAGGCGAACCGATGAATCAGCTCGATCGAGATGAAACGAAGTACGGTAATGAGGATGAGATGAGATGAGATGAGATGAGATGTCGGCACGAGCGGCGCGGGGCACAGTACTTGCAACTTTTCTTCTCATTCAGCAACATCCTCAACTGCGAGGAACACATTAGCGACAGGCGTTTATTGGCAACGGAGTAATCATGGCCCAGGAATGGACTGGAAAATCGGATGCAGCGTACGGGACACGTACGCATGCTATGCAGGGGCGGCTTTCTGCTTGTTTACTCATTGCGATGCGCCCCGGAGGATTGTACACTACCACTTTTCTTTCTTCATCTTCCTGTGCCGAGGGACTTTCGATCTGATACCCCCTTTACATAGCTTTCGCGCATCTTTCTTGCCTGCAATACGATATGGAGCCATGGAGAGTAGCTTCCACACCCTCTCGATGGAAAGTGTGCTTTGCATTCAGACCCCGTGCCGTCTTACCAGCTGCATCTCACAGGACCCCGAGTACTATACCTCCGATCCCGAGCTCCCGAGATCGTCTTACTTGCATGCGCATGACAGACTTCCTTTAATACACCTCACACCATCTGACTACACACTGTCTATTTCAAACTCGCAGTAAACGAACCAGTCTACATGCCCAAGTCCCAGGCCGCTACTGGTGTAAGCGACCAGTGGTGTCACTGTCATGTGGTTTTGGCTACTCGACCCTAGCATCGAAGGCGTTTGGCGCCGGAGACGGGTCGTCTTAGCAAGCACCAGTGCGTCAACAACGTTGCACTAAAAGGCCATTCTGAAACAACGACGTGGCCCGCGCACATGCGACAAATCGAGGCACCCTCCTGCGCCTTCCGCATTTACACTGCAATTTTCCTGGATCCAGCAAGTGCCATCTCGCGCAATCTTACCTTTG